ACATGTTTTAACTACGCTTCAATATGTTTGGACCGACCTGCGCCGGCACTCGAATGTGGCTGTTCCGAAGTTCCAATGTTCATGCTCTTCACAAGAGAGAAAATGCTGCGTGGCACTCGATGGAGGAAGACACTGCAGCAGCGCCTGATTGTGGCTGGACAGGTTCATCAAGTCTTCCTCGAACGTTTGCCACCCCTGCAATGTTCAGCAGAGTCAAACACATGTGCAAACCATACATCGCACAACTCATCGCAAATACTGTGTTTATCAGTGTTCATAATAAATCATAATAATATGTAAGTCATAATCTGATCTCAGATATTTCAGTCAGATCAGCATTAGATGCTGCTGCGTTCCATTGCGGTTTGAGGAGAGCTTCACGCACTCAATACTTGGATGCCTCCAAAAGGTCTCTCCACTCGTCAGAAGTGGAAGCTGCGGCATCTACAAACCTTGTGCCGCGGGCCATGGCCGACAACAGGTCCCTTGGGACACGCTTGTGTCTCTCAGCAGCCGTGAAGGTCAAATTTGAGGGCCGCTCTGCTGACACTCCTTCATGGCCTCTTCCCTGTCTCGTTCGAGCGCCTGCAGCTGCCAAATAAGTGAAATCAGTGCAGTTGCCAGCTACTCATCTGCACTCAGCTACTCATATCTGCTCTCGCTGCTCTCTGGCATGGATGAAGATCATGAAGTGTTCACTCCGAGCTCCCCGCCTGCAGAGCACCTTCATCCTCAAGAAGACGTCCGAGTTCCAAGGGAGTAGGTGCAGTCGACTTCGCCTCGCTAACAAAATGGCTTCGTGCGTCATGTTGCGAAGCTTTTGCTAAAGGGAACACCCTGCATTGCTACAGGTGCCTTGGCTCGCTTCTGCAGTTTTTGGCGCTGCTTCTGCAATTCCTGGAGCTACTGTTAAGCTACTGTTAAGCAGCTAAGCAAGAATCCGGGCGAAGCTGAGCTAGCGGCACTTTTGAAAACATGCTGACACGGAAAGCTCCGAGTACAAGATTCAGATCCAAGATGAATATTCATGGCCTGGATCCAGTTCTTCAATGAAATCAACCTTTTGATTTACGTGCAGCCACACCGACCGGACAGGGCTATGCGGGGATCCTCCTGAAAAGTAGCTTGTCTCCTTGCAGCCTCTGCCAAGGCAGCTTCACGCTCAGCATCGGAGGTCAAGATCTGGGACAGGCACCAGCTGGACAATGCACATGATATATCATGAGACAGCCTTCCGCAGAGCAGGATGGTTCAACTAGTATTTTGAAAATTGAAAATCTTTCTCAATCTCGCATTATCAGCGCGCGGGACTTCCTGTGGCAACTTCCGAAAGCAACCCGCCTTGGCAGTTCTATTCGCGGCCAGGGCTGCCTGCGCCTCCTTCGAAACGGACAACGCAGAGCGATACCATGCAAACAAGTCTTGGCCAGCTCTCTCTCTGCCTCTCTCTCTCTCTCTCGCAACTTCAACCCTTTCGAATTCTACCCATATCTATTGAATTGCAGCTATTCGCCAAAACTGTCGGTCCTCCACTGCTGCACTGGAATCTGCCACAAACTGCTTCCACTTGCTTTCAAGCGAGTCACAAGCCTTGAAACAAAGGGTATGAAGTGAAAATCACCCACCAGTGGCACCACTCCAGTGATTGGATGAATCCAAAGCGCTGTAGAGACTTTCTCTCAGTTCAAGCTTTTTTTTTTCCCCTGCTGCATGACCCACTCTGCGTCTCACGCGCCAATGGACTTTGCCATTGGGGGAGGCTATGTACAGCCACAGCGGTCACCGCGGGAGGCGACTATCCGGTGGGCGTTCATGCCACCGGACGTCAGCCAGGGTCGCGGCGAACGGCGGGGGCTCCCCATCGACGCCGGGCGCGGCCGCGGCCGGGAGTTCGAGGAGAGTCTCGGCCAGGGCGCGCTGCGCCGCGCCGGATAGGAGGCCGGCCCAACGGTGCACGTAGGCCTGAACTGCCGCCGAGCGGAGGAGTGCTGGCGCAGTGCGGGCGCGGGCGTGCGCCAAGGCTCGGAGGAAGTCGGCGGCTTCCTCGCCCCAACGACCTCCTACTTCGAGACCCAAGATGATTAGGTGGCAGCGGCGCGAGCCGGAAAACTCGGGGTAGGTGTGTTCCCGCTTGCGCTGGGAGGCTGCCAGGATCGCCGCGCCCGGGTTCGCGTCGGAAGCGTGGCGCACCTGTCCGGTGCGGCCAAGGGGGCTGACGAGGGTCACGTCGACTGCCAGCTGAGCCCCGTGCCAGAGCGGCAAGTCGTTTGCGAGGACTTCAATCTGGCGTGCGTCGGTGACTGGGACCGCGAGGTTCATGCGCGAGAGCGGCACGTTGACCGCGACGCGGGCACCGGCCTCGCGGCAGATGCGGGCGACCGCGCGTTCGATGGGCGCAGCTCGTGCCCGGAGGACGCCAGTGGTGGCGCATGCGGCACGGTGGTCGCCGTAAGGGTCGAGTGCCAAGCCACACCGACACCGGGAAGGGCCGCAGCTCAAGGGGGCTCGGAGCCGCCGTTGCAGCAAGGTGCGGAAAAGCGGGTTGCCGAGCTGGAATTCCGGGCTGGTAGGAAGGGTTGTGACTGCGCGGCCGCTGTGTGGGCCAGCCTGGGATAGGAGAAGCGCGCGCTCCGGAGGGGAAAGGTCAGATAGGAGCGCTGCGAGCTCGTCCAAGTCTTGGGCTGCACTGATGTCGCGCTGCCACCCCCGCAGGAAATCGCCCGGGGTCCGGTCTTCGTGCGAGAAGGTATGGCGGCCGCCGATGATAGATTCCCAGGGTGGGACAGTCGCCCCGCTGTTCCGGAGGAGCTGGGCTGCCTGGGAGGCGGCGAGGATGCTGGGTGGTTGTGGGCGGGCCTCGCCGCTGAGGAGCTGGAGAAGGCGGTCCGCCACAAGAGGAAGGCGCGCGTGGAGGATGGGCAAGGTGTCGGCCCATGAGGCCCAATACGCGGCGAGGCGCGAACGGTGGGCCGAGCGCAGGCCGCACCCCCCCAAGCGCAATGGGAGTTGGGCCCGGTGTAGCTGCAGGTCCGAAAGGGCCGCGCCTGCCGCCACCAGGGTGCTGACGCAATGTGCCACCGCGGGGTCGTGGGCGGCTGCAAAGTCTGAGGTGTCCGCCGGTGGGAGGACGCGGAGGAGATAGTTGCTCCGGGGGGCTGCGCAGAAAAGGAGCAACAGCCAGGCGGCCTGCAGGTTCTCTACCCATGGGATGCGGTGGAGAAGGAGGTCTTGTTTGGTGCGGACCTCGGTAAGAGCATGTTGCACGTATTGCGCGCTCCCAATGGGGGTGCCCAGGACCTGGAGGCCTTGCGCCGAAGGGGGCAGAGTCCAGTCGCCGACCCAAACCCGGTCGTTGCTGTCAGCCGGCTGCAGCTCTGGGAGGTGGCACGGCTCTTCCCCAGCCGCATTCCAGATGCGGGTCTTACCTTGGTTGAGTTCGATGCACGCGTGGCCTCGGAGGGAAACGCGCAAGGTGGAATAGAGCGCGTGGGTGCGGTCAGGCGACGAAATGACATAGATGTCATCGAGGAAAGCAAAGAGCGCTTCCCCGGACCGCATCGTGGCCGCGGTCTCTTGCAGCGCAGGGTGCTGGGCAAGCGCAAACAGGGCAGGCATGAGCGGGTCGCCTTGCTCCCCCCCTTCAGCTTGCTGAACGGAGTGGCAGGCGCCACTAGAGTCCCACCAGAGGTAGGTGCTGTCTTGGCCGTAGAAGAGGCGGGCGTAGGGGAGGAGGGGTCGAAGCGCAGGGGAGCGGAGAAGGCTGCCGAGCATCGACTGGCGTCCGACATGATCGAAAGCGCCGACGCCGTCGACCGACAGCACGGTAGCGCGGGGGTCGAGCTCGGTCGCGACCCGGACGGCGCGTGCGAGGCCTTCTGCTCCGGCTTTGGTGCTGAGGGCGTACTGAAAGGGGTGGCACGCCTCTTGGAACTGGGCTGAGAATTGCTGCGCCAAGGTCCGGCCGACCAGCCGGCGGAACACGTCGCTCATCACGAGGCCGCGCACACGCCCGTTGCCTTTCTGGAGGGCAACAAGGCGGCCGACTCGGAGGCCGTCCATAATGAGGGGAGGCACCCGCGCCGAGGCCAGGAGCGAGGCCGCGTCGCACAGGAGGCGGGAGTCGGATTCAGACTCGAGCAAGACCCGGAGGTGCTCATTGGTGCAGCCAGACGGACCAGCGGCCGCCCCGCGGCGGGCCCGGCGAAGGTTTTGCAGGAATCTGGTGGCGTCGACGTGGAGCAGCTCATCGGGCTGGAAAGAGGCAACGTCGTCTGAGAGGGGTCGATGCCGGACTTGCGGGCGCCGGGACGGGTTGCGCAGCTCGGCCAGGGTGGCGGACGAGAGCGGCGCGAGGGGCTCGGCCACTAGCGACCGGGCAGCCGCGGAAAGTTCCCCTTGATGTGCCAGGCTGGCTGCACGGGAAGCACGCGCATCAGCAGAGGGGACGCTCGAGGACGGCGCTGTGGGGTGGAAGCTGCTGGCAGCTTCGCCGAGCAGCTGGTGCCACTGGCCGTTCCGGAACATAGTGGCTCGGCGGTCGAGGTCGCTGGGTTCGGCGCGCTCCCCGGGACGGGACCGGTAGCAGAGCATCCGCGGGGCCAGGAGGAAGAGCTTCCAGCCACGTGCTTGGGCAGGGTCCGTGTCGGCGGGGTGGTCGCAGATTTCGGTGAGGCCCAGGCGGAGCGCAAAGGCAAGGACCCCCTGCAAGCGCCGGGGCGCACCTTGGAACGTCGAGACCCGCACCCGCAAGGTGTGGGCGAGGTCGAGGTCGTCAAGGCTGCGGAGCGCTTGTTGGAGCAGAGCTGCGGGGTTTGGAAAGGGCGGAAGAGGGGGAGGCGGAGGGTCTGGGACCTCGGCAGGCTCTGCGGGAGCAGGGTCCGCCGCGGCTGCGTGTCGTCCACGCCCGCGGCCGCGACCGCCGCGGCGCGGCGGGGGCCGGTGGGCACGGGCCACCTGTTGGGCCAGAGCCCGGACAATGGCCGGCTCTCTGGGCGCCGAAGTCTCGACCGCGGGATGCACGGGGCCGGGATCGGCAGGGAGCTGGATGGGCGCCGGAGGGTCCAGGCGCGCTCGGAAGGTGTCCGAGTGCCGGTCGAGGTCGGCAGCAAGGTGAAGGCCACCATAGAGTTGGAGAAGCACTTCTTGGCCAGCGGCGGGGACGTACGCGTCGGGGTCGCAGAGGTGGCGAACTGCCCAGCCCAGATGCGCTTGGGCACCTGGCGGGAGCGCGGCCGCCTGTCGGGAAAGGCGCTGGTGCGAGGGAAGCGCGCCAGCAGCTGGGCAAGCGTGGAGGGCTTCCAGGAGGGTGGTGAGGGGGACGGGGGGCGCGGCAGTCAGCGCTTGCCGGGCGCGCTCCCACCACCGTGTGGTGGCGGTGGCTTGTTGCCAGGCCAAGGCGGCATCCTCGTGGAGCTCGCCTGTCGCGGCGAGGAGCAGGGGTACAGCCAGGAGTTGGCATCCGTCCGGACAATGCCACTTGGGGGGCCGCGCTGGCGCCAGGCGGCCGCGCCCCTGGGGCGGGGAGAAGGGGGCGGCGTGGCGCGCTCGGGCTCGGATTCTTGGAAGGGGGTGAAGTGGAGCCCGTGGCAAGTGCTGCTCAAGCTGGCATCGAGCGCTGGGTCCCAGGCATGACGGCACAGAGGACATCGTGGAGGGTGCACTTGCGCGCGGGATCTGGCGAGGCAGGCGAAATGGTAGGCATGCCGGCAGCCGGGCCAATGCACGACCGCCCGGCGCCCCACCCCGGAAAGGAGTAGGGGCTCGAGGCAGGTGCAACATGTGGGCGCGGCATGGGCGCCATCGGTAGGAGCGCTGGGGGGAGGTGCGTCCTCGCCGTCACTGAGGACGACGGGGGCGGGTGAGACATCCGGGAGGGTGGACCCAGCTGCCGTGGTGGCGCTAGGGTGAAACGCTTGAACCAAAACGACTTCGTCACCGTCACCATTGTGTGTATTTTCGGCCCGTGCCTCCTCCCGATCACAGTGCGGCCAAGGCGCCGCCATGAGCAGCGGCCAAGCGGTCTCTCGCAAGCAGCTATGGCGTCAGGCTCGCCCGGTCTGCTGTCTGCTGTATGTTAGTTTTTTTTTTTTGTTTTTGGGTCTGTGGCGAAACCTCGGTTTTCCTTTGTTGTTGTGATTTTTTCCTTTTTTTTTTTTCTCCTTTTCCCAGGGGTACCGGTGGTGAGAGATGTGGGTGGAGTGAAAGGTGCGTCCGGCTGCTCAAAGGGCCTGGGAGTTGCCGCGCTGCCTTGAAAGGATGGCGCGCAGCAGAGGTGGGGGCGGGGAAGGAGGTGGCGGGGGGTGGCGGAGTGCCGGCCGCCGGGGGGTGGCGTGGGGTGCCTGCTGCCTTGAAAAGCGGAGGGCGCAGGCGGAGCCGACCGGGTCAGCGGAACGGGGAAGGCCCCGTCCGGGCAAAAGGGTTGGCGGAGATTGGGATGGGCCCGGGTGCCGTGAAGGCAGTGACCGGTGGGCTGGAAGTCCTGCGAGGAGGAAGGCCCTGGCTTGCGCGGACGGCGCGCCCGGCACGGTGGCTACGGCGCGTGGGCCGACGGCCGGGTGCTTGGGGAAGGCGAGGCGCGGGTGGGGGGCCACGCGCCGCAGGGCGCGCCGGCGGGCGGTGCGCCGGTGGAGGAAGAGGAGGCTCGGGCTCCACCGGGATCTCCTCGAACTCCGCCGCAGCCGAGGGCGAAGAGGGCGAAGGAGAGCTCTCGGGAGGGGGCGCCCGGCGCGGGCAGAGGCGAGCACGGGGGGGCGACCCCTGGGAGGAAGAGCCACTCCCCCGAGAGCGGGAGCGGGAGGGGGAAGGGGGGCGACGGGCAGGGGGTGGAGGCGCCGCCGGGGCGGCTGCCGGGGCCCCGGGGGGGGCAGGTGCCGCCAAGGCGACCTGCCCTCCCAGCCGGAGCCAGGTGGCCACGGACAGGCTCACGAGTGAGCCGTCCGTGGCACCGGCGACCTCGACCCCCTGGAGGGTGAGGATCGCCGGTTCCATGAAGGGGCCGGGGGCGCGCCGGCGCGTTCGAGCCTTGAGCCAAAATGGCTCCCATGAAACTCACCCCAACTGCGCTCCCAAGTGGGATATATGTATATATATATTATATATATATATATATATATACATATATATATAGGTCTTGGCCCAAAACGCCCCCCGCCCATCGATCCGTGGGGTTTTGGCTGCCATAACCTGAGTGGGCACCGGTGTTTGCCCGCGGGCTCTCGCATTTCTTGGACTTCCTGACCAAGACTTCGTTGCCTAGTGAGTTAAGGGTCAGCTCACTCTAAATAAAAAACCCTATGGCGTTGCATGGAGGGTCAGGACTGCTTGAGCATCCGAAAGACAGCGAAGACGACAATGCTGTCAGCATCTGGCGTTTGCCGGCCTCGCGACTCATTATCCAATTGCCAGGTATGAGGCAGGTCCATGTGGCTCAGGGGTTGTTTGGAGCTCCGTCTCCAAAGCCGACTACCCTCTTGGCGTTGCGGCTTCCAACAGTGGAAAAAGACCTTCACTCTGGTATGTTGACTACGATGCTTCCGCACAACGTTTCAGCAGGCCGAGATGAATATGGTCGATTCAGAACCGCGCCACTTAAAGAGTATCCATCTGGACTATGCAGCTCTGTAGCGAAAGCCTTTTGCACAGATTTTTGTAAATCGAATCCAAACGTCAGCATGGATTGGGGCGTCCTTCCATCGGCTTTTTTGAGTCAATGAAGAAAAATGCATGACAGAGCCTTTGGAACCTTCATAGGGAAGGACTAGAATTTATTGCGCATCTGCCGCAGCGAGAACCGCTACATCATGCAGGAGCCAAACACACACACACACATATACATATATATATATAATTATGTATATATATATATATATAATAAAATCCCGTGAAACCCACGTTAAATCATATTGGCTCCGAATAATTCACCATCCCATGAAATCAAAAGGCATTTTCCTAAGTGCCTTGCCTGGTCCCGGACAAAGTTTGCACTGTCGCCGCTCAAGGTTACCTCTCCAGTGCTCTGATCATTCCAAGATTCCAATCCTGGCGACAAATTGACATCGCAACAGCCCGAGGAAAAACACAAAAGATGGAGTGTACTTGGAGGGTTTTATGGTGATTTTATTGGATTTTATGGGGGTATCATGGGGCTGGGGATATATATTATATGTATAATATATACATATCTGTGTGTGTGACCTACATGAGGGTGCAGTTGGGGTTACAAAAGTCTTTTTATATAAGCATATAAACATAGCTATTTTCTTCCTACATCGCGTTGCGAAAGGAGGTCAAAACAGGTCAAAACAGGTCAAGCTGGCCATGTGAATAGGACCAATGATGATAAACCAAAGGAATTAGAATACCTAGGGGATCGACGAGGGGTACCTTACACACAGGGTGTGTTCAAAGATTTTCTTGGGGATTCCATGTATGTACACACACACCCACACACGGTGGGGCCCCATAGTTTGGCTAAGTTGGCTTATAACTTGGTAAGGTTTGGGTTTATGGTGGATATGTAGCTATAAATAGCCATAGCTATATTTACCTAATGGTGCTCACACACCAAGGCGTGAAGACTTTTGAATATTTCAACGGATTTATGGTGATTTCTATGGGGTGTTAATGGGTTATCATGAAAATTTATACAGATACCTTAGATTTCTTGGGGTTTGATTAACGTGGAGCTCATCAATGAAAGCTTGGATCTCGTCAAAACTCAGACTGTGCAAACTATTTGCCGGCAATTCATGTGAATGATATGGACAAATTGAACTACATTGTCTCGGTGGGTTTGAAGGAAACAGGCCAAACATACCCAATTATATTACCCTCTTGTAATTCACCATAGCTATGGAAAATGGATGAACATGACCAATTTATAGATTATTTACCTATTAAATATGGGGTTTTCCATAGCTATATTCATTTACCAAAGGATGTATACATATCCATGTTGGGCCATGGATTCCAAAACAGCTGGGGCAAACAAATGCCATTGATAGATATTGAGAGCCCGGGAGACACATGCATCAAGAAACCCATACCCTCTGGTAATTTAACATAGCTATTGAAGCCATGGCCAGTTATTGTTGATTTCCCTCTCAAACATGGGGATTTTCCAGTTCGCGACGTTAGTTTAGCAGAGGTTAGAATGAACCCCAAAACCACACTCAATCAATGGGAGATCTCCAGGATCCAATTGATGGAGGTACGTAAACGTACCATATGTTTGGCCATATGAATTGTGGGGATATTCCCTGAAATTTAGGCTACAAGGCTTTGAGGCGACAAAATGGGTGTCCTTCTTCCTCCTCCTCTGTGTCGCCAGATAAGGAGATCAACAAAGGCATAGCGATGCTCCACCTCGGCCGGAAAAACATCCTGGGACCATCCTGGGACCTAATCAAGCCGTTACCATGTAGCCACTAATAGTCTAACATTACTAACATTGCATACTTGTAACTCAATCACTTTATCATTGCTATCATTAGTTATCATGTTGTTGCAGGTCATGTGCAAATATGATCAAATATGTGGATATAACTTGATATAACCTTCTGACCCCTATTGGCAAACACGGTGTCTGAATATGCCTGGAATTCCTGAACTTGGCTATGTGGCTATATCGACAGTGCAGTCATGACAGTAAACCTCTTTTTTCTTGGGGGCATATGCGGGAGATGATTTCCAATACGACTATTGATACCCCTAGAGCTAAAAGGTAAATGGGCCATGATTTGCCACTGGGTTCATCTCGTTCCACTCCGTGGATGTTTCTTGGCCCGTTGGCTTCGATGATCCCCGAAAAAAATGAAACACGACACCTATAGCGATTCCCCAGGCTCAGCTGAGAGGCTCCAGGTACCGCAAGGTGTAGACTGGCCGTGGACCACCAAAGGCTAAAGGATCTGTATGAACCCACCTGAGTTCGACAAAACGCAACGTCAGACCTTGGACCTTACCCACCTCGATCCATCGAAACATCGAACAGGGAAAGTGATGGAATTTGGAAGGAAAGTCAGAAAGGATAAGCAGAATCTTAGCCCTCCTGGTGGTTCATCTACCGCTGCAAACTTATTAAAAAAACATCTCTGGGACCAGGAAAACCAAGAGATCACCCAGGTTCAAGCATCTTCAAAACGCCAGGAGCCAGGGTTATGAGCCGGAAACTCATACAACAGAGTTTGTGAAGATAGTTGTTAAGAGATGCTGCCCCCAAGACATTAGCCACTAAGTCACTAAGTGAAAAATGGAGGGAGGTATGAAGGAAATATCATGATGGTAGAATAGCACAGAATAATTTCAAATCTGGGCCTGAAAGTCTTTTGAAACAATGCTTGGCCCTTAATTTTCTGCCTTCATTGAAGATATATAGGAAATTAAATGAATACTAAAGGCTTTTCGACGAAGAACGGGAGAAACAGTGCTGATGGCAAACAATGCGCTCATGCGTCAGTGCAAAACGTACAAAAAATGAAATGCACATCACATATGTAATTACACATATATATATATATACACATACAAATCATACAAATATAGAAGTGAGCTGAGTCCAAAATTGCGCAAACTGATTGGATTTAGCTGTGGCAAGACCTTGCCGATACCCAAATCCTTTTGGCGGTCATGTAGGAATGGAAAGTCACAGATATCCGCCGCCTTGACTAATGGGGTGCGTACCATCTTAGAAGAAGATTGTCACCATGTCACTTTTTTTCAATGGCCATTTCAAGAACCGATTTATTAGAGTACCTACCATATATAAGGTCTATGTAAGGCCTATGTAAGGGAATATCCCCACAAAATATAGCCTTATATGGTACAGTACCTCCATTTTAGGATCCTGAAATTCCCGTTGATTTTGGGGGAACCCGCCTGAACCTGGGGTAGGAACATATTCTTGATCCAGCCTCAAACATGCCAAAAACTCCGAGCTGTTTAAAAAACCTGGCGCTTGGATCTGCGGGCTGAGCGGCTGGTTGCCGGAAACAGCCATTTTGAAATAGCTGACGGACAAACATGTATAAACCTCAGTGGAAAGCCGGCAAACTTGGCGATAAGACTCACTCACTGAGGTCGCCGGAACAATCTGAAACTCCAAACCCAGACAGTTGCCGACTCTGACTTTTGAGTTTCAGCTGATTTTGATAAAACAAAATATCCGTTGGTTTCTCATCACCATCACCATCACCATCATCATCACCATCAGCATCATCATCATCAGCATCAGCATCACCATCACCATCGTCATCATCATCATCATCATCATCACCATCACCATCACCATCATCATCATCATCATCATCATCATCATCATCATCATCATCATCATCATCATCATCATCACCATCATCATCAGCATCGGCATCACCATCACCACCATCATCATCATCATCATCATCATCATCATCTTCATCATCATCACCATCATCATCATCAGCATCGGCATCACCATCACCATCATCATCATCGTCATCATCATCATCACCATCATCATCATCATTGCACAGATTCAAATGTCTGAATTAAACTGTTCAGATAATAGTAGCACAGATGTGTATCGGTTGACAAGGCTATTCCTTCCAGCTCCCCCGGTCGATGTTTTCAACGGCTGGTCGGTGGCTTCAACCCCCCCAAAAATGCGAGCCATTCTGATCAAGATCCAAGAAAAAACTGAACAAGAGTAGATATCCTGTGTAAAAAGAGCCCCATGAGCAGAATTCAACTTTAGAAAAAGAAGTCATACTAGGTGTCTGCAGACACTAACTATGTAGACATCTATAGGCACACACACACACATATATATATACATGTAATTATGGTGTAAGCCTCAAACAATGAAAAGCAAAATCCTACTTAAGTAGCAAACAATACTTGATAATGTTGGTGAAGCAATAAACCATGCCCAGTTTTACCACAAATGGCTGGTATAAACCATCAAATTATGATTGCTAGTTTACTTTTGTTTTACGAACATTATGTCTCTCTTTATATCCCATGATATTCCCTTTTACTATACATACCCTCCGTTTATTTAATGTAGCTATATAAGATCATCGTGTTTAACCATGTTTAACAGGTACATCATTGTAAATCATCTATCAATGGAGCATTTTCCATAGCATTCTATACATAGCCAGAAGCTCTATAATATATATATATATATGTATGCAGATACCTCCCCATTTTTCATATTTCCAATCCATGGGGGTACCCCCAGTTTTCATCCATTTATAGATAGATTTTCCCTTATAAACAATCCAGCGAGCTTGGGGTACCCCCATTTTTCATTTCAGACATGGCCAGGTTGCAAAGAGCATGACCTTGGAATCGTTTGTGTTCACACAGACGGGCAAGTCTGCTGGACCTCTGCCAGATGGGCCAGGCTTTTGTGGATGATGTAAGTCTTTGTTGTGCAACCAATTAGCTACCATTCTGTTCTGGTAGGTGGTTGACCTACCATTGTGGTTAATATATGGTTAATATATGGTTATTATATTGTTAATGATGGTTAATAATTAAGTTCTGGTTGGTGGTTTTTTGCCACCCCCCTGAAAAATGATGGAGTTCGTCAGTTGGGGTTACTATTCCCAATATATGGAAAAATAAAACATGTTCCACACCACCAACCAGCATTTATCTTTAGTACTTGTTAGTTACATGATATCCCCCTAAGCCTGAGTTACTTGATATTCCCCTTAGTCACCGGGCCTTTCTACTTAAATGGAAAATCAAGCCGCTAACCAACTAATAGTTGAGTGGGAGACCCTCAGCAATAGTGGTATTATTGGGAGATGCCCAATTAACAAATATGTGATAATATATGAATATGTGGTACTTACCCCCTGGTAATTTAACATAGCTATTGAAGCTGTGGCCATCTAGTTCGTTGAGTTAGCTATCAGAAATACCCTCCAGGAAATTAACATAGACCCTGCCAGATAGGGGTTGGAAGATTTTCAGGTCTATGCATGTTAATTTACCAGAGGGTAATGGTTTTCCATATAGTTATGTCGCTTTACTAGAGGAAAATGAGCTAGCTATGATCCATAATGATCCCATGAAAAAGCAATGGCCATGCAACCATATGTATGTATACTGTATACATATATATATATCCGGTGTGTGGTTGAGCCATGTTGAGCCACCCCTCTGAAAAATGATGGAGCGAAATTCAGTTGGGATGATGACATTCCCAAATGAATGGAAACATAAAAACTGTTCCAATATATATATATATAAACAGGTATAAGGCCTATGAAAGGGCTAATCCTTCTCGTGCTGAAATCATCTTAAGGGCACATCCCATAACATTGCGACGGCTTCAACCGCCGTTGGAAGAATGGATAAATCCTGCATGGATCATTGTCCCATTGCCACGATTGATTACCCCAAGTTCTCAACCAACCATTCCGCTTCAACCAACGAATCAACATGCATGAAATGTGTCCAATTTTTAGACTTGATTTTTTTTAGGGCCCAGTAAACAACAACCAAACTCTATTCCGTGTAGATTCCCCAACTTGCCGCGCTTCCAATAGTGAACAAATGCCCATTCAGTTCCGGGATTTCCCAGCCAGCCATGTTTGATACTATTTGGTAGATATATCACCAAAAATGACCATTATAGAATCAGCAATGGGCTGTTGTTCATCATATACCCCCATAATATCACCATTCAAAACCACCATTTTTACCGAAGTTACCATTTTTCCCGCTAATTGGAGGGTTTTCGCAAGTGCATCCACCAATTTTCGTGATTTTTCATCCCTTTTTTAATGCAGTTGGCTTCCCAGTCCAGTCTCAACCCGAGGCGCTGTACTCAATGAGCAACGCACTAAGCTCGAAAACCACGGCAGTGGCAGTCATGATGGATGCCACCAGGCAGGACCAATCAACTGCCGGTGCCATCTCCTGTGCGACCGGGAAAAAAGGGCGAGAAACGGCGAAAAAGAAGTGCTGCACTGCGGCTATGTTGGTTGTTTTCTTTTAAACCCATCAACTGGTTCGATTTGCATAGAGATATATATCTATATATAATAATAATGATAATATATATATAATATTATATATATCTCTCTCTCTCTATCTGTCTGTCTGCCTGTCTATCTACCAATTTACCTATCTACCAACCTACTGTACCTATCTGTCTGTCTGCCTGTCTACAATAGACATCCATAAAACATAGAAAAAACATAGAATTCACCAAAACCAACTTAGCTATACTTACAATGTGAGGCCCCCCCAGTGATAAGTTGGTTTATAAGCCCCAGTAACTATAGTTATAAGTACCATAAACCATAGTTATTGGAGTTATAAACCAACTTAGCTATCTTGGGGGCCTCACATTGTAGCTATTGTTTGGGGGCCACGCCTTGATACGCTTTGTACACTTGGCAAACAATGACCTAAGGTCAACACCTGGATGCACATTCTACTGGTCAATGTGGGGTAGGGGAATATGCCAATTTTAAATACCAACTAGGGGAAACAAAGGACAGGAATATAGTTAGTGTTTGAAGAGTATCATATATTTTTGCGAAACATGAATGGCTTACACCCTATCAGCATCCATCAACATCCATCAATATCGACCCTCGGCAGCTGTGTGATCAGATTTCTCCTCTTGCCACAGTGGTGCAATGTCGGTATAGCAAGTCGCCCATCCACACATCACGAAGAGAATCAAGATGGTGATGTCGTTCCATAGTCCTAAAATGCGGTTTGTGTTGTCCATAAAAAGGAGGAATTTACCCCAATCTTGGTAAATTTGGGTGGGAACATCATGAACCAACAAGATCCTTCAGAAACATAGGTTGCACTATGTCACACCCATGTGTCAATCAAAGCCATGTATCATCCCACCTCGTGATGAATCTATGACGGTGATGGCATTCGTCTCTAAAAGTGGCTTATCCGTTATCCCATTCATCTGCTGGGGCCCAGGTATAAGTTGGTTTATAGACCACATGAATACTATAGCTATACACGTATATAAGTATCATAAACCATAGCGAAGAATTTGAAATTAACTATAAGTTATACTATAAGTTGTACCCTCTGCTAATTTAACATAGCTATTGAAAATGGCCATCTATAGTGCATTTACCCATTAAACATTGTGATTTTCCATAGTTTTTTGTATGTTTACCAAAGGGTAAAACATAATAAACCAGTTATAAACCATGGCGTTATTGGACCTATTGGAGTTAAACCTTCACCTGCATGATCCCAAATGGCCCCTGGATTTTCTTCACATTTCTATGAGATGGACCATTTTTTTTAGCCGTTGTTTGTATAGGTCAAAGATGGTCAAATCATACGTGTTGATATGTTAATATATGTTCATATATGTTCATATATGTTCATATATGTTCATATATGTTCATATATGTTCATATATGTTCATATTTGCAAGTGGGCAATGGCATTCAACAACTGAAATAAAGACATACACTCTCCAAATTGATTCAGAGATCTTAATATGGTAATCAGACTATTTGTGCAGACTATTTATGCACCGCAATTGGCATGCTCCCTTGCTAGGCACCCCTTTTCGCAATAAAATGTAAGAACTGAGAAGGGTATAGACCTTTGTGCACCATACAAATAATTATATGCACATGCAAAAAAAGAAGTTACCCTCTGGTAATTTAACATAACTATGGAAAATCACCATTTATAGTGGATTTTCCCATGAAAAATGGTGATTTTCCATAGCTATGTCAAATTACCAGAGGGTACTATATCAAATTCAATTGGTGAGTTTCCACACCATTCACATCAGCCAACTCCAACGGCCTTGCCGCCGCTGACGCTGCGACCGTGTGGCGCGCCAAAGAGAGGGCCAATTTGGCGTTTTCCTCTGACGGCGATTGCTTGTCCTCAGCCATAACTCCACGGATGCCTCGGCTTCGTTTGGAAAGTCGCGCAAGGCGCGCCGTTTCGTTATGTTTCGTGAGGCCCCCGGCCACGATAGCGTTCAGTTGGGGTTCACATAACTCCAATAACTATGGTTTATGGTACGCAAATAACTATAGTTACTGGGGCTTATAAACCAACAAACATCACTGGGGGGGGGCCACATTGTATGTTTCGTTTGGAAAGGCGCAATACTATGCAATACTTGCGCGTCGCACCTTAGGTGTCCATCGTGATTTTGCGTGGCAGGCGCAGCACTTTAGACGTCTCGCGTTGCGTGTTTTTTGCGAATCGCATTGCCGGGGCTGCACCGGTGACAACGTGCAAATTGCGTGGCATGGGACATCGTGAGGCGCGTCCTTTTCTGTGGCAAGGCAGAGGCCGCTGGGGGTGAATCATGTGAAATCCTCCAAAATTTACGGCGGGGACCACTTGGAAGAAAGTAACTGGTGAACAAACAAAACCCTGATGATCGGGTCGTCCCCTATTCGTGATAAATCCATCCCCTTGTCATATTTAAAAAAAAAAAACAATCGCCCAGTCCGGCTGTTGCATGTACACAGCTCTCTGAAAGACAGCATCAGATGTGGACATGATGGACAATTATCACTTATAGGCATCGCTTTTGGGGGGGCCTATTGCTACACCAGACTTTTTACCGGAACCTCATCTGATTTCATCCCCTCTTTTTTTTAAAACCACTACTAACTATGTTGATCCCGGCTGAATTGCATAATATAGTGCTTCACTGAGGTGAAAACAACTTTATCATACGGCTATTTGGGATGATTCCCTAATTCAATTCCCATGACGTGAGGTTATGATCAAATTCATCCAACTATTGAATAAACATCCCCATTCCAATGTCCGAAATCTGTGGTTTCATCCCCTATTAAACTTTTATGAAACCATGGTCTCCAAAAAAAACATCAAATGAGCCATTAAGAGCCACAATTAACCATTCATTAAGCGTTAATGACCGTCAATTAACCCCTAATGCCGAGGGCTTAACCCTTCTGTAAAATCGACCATGGGCGCTCCTCACCAGGCATTTCTTATTGGTCGGATGATCGGAAGGAGCCAGTCTCAGCACGGCCCATCGCGGTGTTTTGAAATAAAACCAGATTAGTTAGCTGGTTGGTGGTTTTAACCCCTCTGAAAAAATATCCGATAAACCACCCCAAAAGTGAAAGCTCAAACCCTTATAACCCCTTCCTCCTAATGTTAAAGTCCCCCAAAAAACCATTGTTTAATAGATTATTCTCACCTGGTTGGTGGTTTTAACCCCTCTGAAAAAAATGAAAACAATGGGAAATATTATCCCATTTATTATGGAAAATAAAATTCATGTTTGAAACCACCAACCAGTTAGCTATGTGTTGCGATCTAAGGTGGGGGGATTCTGAAAACCATAGGTTTCACTACTAAAATGATCTAATTTTGGATGATTTGGAGTACCCCCCCCCCATTTTAGAAAACCTCAACATATCTGTCATAAATAGACAAGGCAATTGTTTTTTTGTAATCAATGTTTTTTCAAAGCAAGATTGAAAACTCAAAATGAAATAGTGAAGTCTTGGTTTGAACAGTGATAGAAGATTGGGATCAAACATGCTATTTCACTTTGGGAGTGAAAATTAAACATAAATCCCGAACAGTGAAGCATCACTATTTCAGTTGGGATTTACTCTTCGATCTTTTTTAATCTTTTTGTTTTTGGACAACGACACTTGGGATCCCATCCCAAATCTTCCAAATCAGTTAAGCTCAGTTGCTGGCACAAGGGAAACATGCCAGGCCACATGAAATGAATCATTGAACTGGAGCCGAAAGGTCCAGGTGCGATTTCCCAATTGAGACGACTGCGCACTCCAAAGACCCCTTGAAGTTTCAAAGTGGGGTCATGGATTCATCGTGGAATTTCATGGAATATCATGGATTTATCATGGGTTTACCATGGATTTATCATGGATTTCTCATGGATTTGATGACTCCTTTTGGGGCAGACAGAATGTAGGTAACCCATAGTAACCCCTCTCTCTCTCTCTCTCTCCATCGTTCCGGCAGCAGCCAGCCTTGACTGCTCCTTTAAACTCTCGATCAGGGCACCTGGACAGAATCTGGTAGAACAGCACCTGTGAGATATGCCAAAGGGAAACCACAAATCTGAAAGTGAGCCACCAAAATGGTTAATCATGTGGTTAAAACTTAAAACCATAATCGACTATTCCCCAGTCATCACCATAAATGGGTGGGATTCCAACCGTTCCCACATGGGTTGATACTATAGACTTAGGCTGAAAGTCAAGGGGTCCCCAAAATCCACGAGAAATGTTCATAGAAATATGGTCCTTCTAGATCCCCCAAGAAATGCCGAAAATCGTTCTGAACGAAAAAATGCGGAAAAAACCAGAGACGAAACAAACCCACAAAACCCCACACTGAAAGCACAGCAATGGTGACCAACCGCGACCTCCAATTGCATCAAAGGGTAGGAGCTAAGCAGCTACCCTCCAGTAAACAAAGAAAAAAATGTCGGAAATTCATGGAAAACCCATAACAAATGATCATAAATGATCTAGATTCATGGTGGATGTTCCATAGTTTACTGGTGCTTCCAACGTTTACCCAATCCCGGGACTCGACATACTCGACTGGCAGGGCCGGAGTTTGCAGCAGCTGTGGAAAACATCGACTTTCCAGATTTGGATCTATCCATCGATTTATCTATCTGGGTAAATTATCATATTTCACTCACTTGAATAGTTGGGCCATTTGGGGATGATTTCCCTTATTAACCATGATTTCCAGTGAGGGAGAACAGTGAGGTCGTTATAATTTACCCAGATCTATGTATTCTGGTTGGTGGTTGAGCCACCCCTCTGCAAAATATGATGGAGTTCGTCAGTTGGGATTATGACAGTCCCAAAACATGGAAAAATAAAAACATGTTCCATACCACCAAGCGGTATACTTATCTATTTGTCATGTTAAATCTATTTATATATTCATTGATTCATATTTAGAGATTGATCATTTGTAATGTTTAATCTTTAAATATGTTTAATCTATTCCCCACCTGCCAGGTGAGGGTTGTTAGATTTTATGTCAGTTGCCTCCTCCTGCCTCGTCCTCCTCCTCCTCCTCCTCTCCTCCTCGTCCTCCTCGTCCTCCTTGTCATCCTTGTCATCCTTGTCGTCCTTGTCGTCCTCGTCGTCCTCGTCGTCCTCGTCGTCCGCGTCCAACTGCGACCCGCGATCCACAGTGTTCTCTGCCGGACCTCAACCACGACCATCCACGCCCAGTGTTCCTTGCCGGACCTCAACCGCGAGTATCCCCGCCCAGTGTTCCCTGCCGGACCTCAACCACGACCATCCACGCCCAGTGTTCCCTGCCGGACCTCAACCGCGAGTATCCCCGCCCAGTGTTCCCTGCCGGACCTCAACCACGACCATCCACGCCCAGTGTTCCCTGCCGGACCTCAACCACGACCATCCACGCCCAGTGTTCCCTGCCGGACCTCAACCACGACCATCCACGCCCAGTGTTCCCTGCCGGACCTCAACCACGAGTATCCCCGCCCAGTGTTCCCTGCCGGACCTCAACCGCGAGTATCCACGCCAAGTGTTCCCTGCCGGACCTCATGAGATATGCCAGATAGAATGCCAGAAGATATGCCAGATGGAATGTCAGATAGAATGACACAAGATATGCCAGATAGAATCCCAGAAGATTTGCCAGATAATATGCCAGAAGATATGCCAGATAGAATGCCAGAAGATATGCCAGAAGATATGCCAGATAGAATCCCAGAAGATTTGCCAGATAACATGCCAGAAGATATGCCAGATAGAATGCCAGAAGATATGCCAGATAGAATGCCAGAAGATATGTCAGAATATATGCCAGAAGATATGCCAGATAGAATGCCAGAAGATATGCCAGATAGAATGCCAGAAGATTTGCCAGATAGAATGCCAGAAGATATGTCAGATAGAATGCCAGAAGATATGCCAGTAAGAAAATGTAAAAATGTCACGGTGGGGATCACACGAAGTAAAGTAATTTATATTTATTTGTGTTTATCTATTCATACCACCAAGGGGTATCATCTGTTTATCCATTGAGCTATTTATCTTTGTGATAAGTGCCATCATCTGGTGAGAGATTGACATGGGTCAATTCTTCACCAGTCACTTTGTCAAAGGGACATCTGGCCCATCTGGCTGTTCGAAACCCAGAAGGTCCCTGTGACAAAGGCTGGTTCAATAGACAATCCCCTTAAATTTGGATAGCGTAACATCCAAACTAATCATCCATCAACCATCATGTTATCAGTTGTAATCAATTGTATCGCTTATATCGCCATATTTTGATGATTGAAACCACCATTAAATGACTGCTTGGTGGCTCATCCCACTTAGTAAGTGGGTTATAACCCCAGTTATAAATGGGATAAGTAGGGTTAATCCACTTATAACTGGGGTTATAACCCACTTACTAAGTGGGATGAGCCACCAAGTACTGTTATTATGAATCAGCAGGGATTTTCTGCTTCGCCACTGCTCAGTCCCTCCCACGTCACACAACGACCCAACGACACAGAAGGTCGACCTTCGGTGTCACGCTTGGAAGAAGCTTCGGACAGCAGGCTTACCTCAAGAAAATCTTCATGCCTTTGGGTCATCACACAATCATAAATAATCATACACATAATCATGAATAATCAGAAACAATCATGAAGAATCATGTATATAAAAAACATAAATAAACATAAATAATCATAAGCAATCAACAATAATCAAAAAATAATCAAAAATAATCATCAATAATAACAAAAAATAATAACAAAAAAACATAAATACACATCATTTGCGAAACCCAATAAACATGTGTGGATGGTTTTTGTGGCACCCAAAAACATATGAAAAAAAACTCAGGGATGGTCCGGGGTGGCTGCTGAGGAGCTGTGTCAAACGTAGCAATTGGAGAATCCCCATAAAAAATTGCCATTTCAGGAACCTAAATTGGAGGTACCTACCATGTATTTTTGGCCATATTTTGCTGGGATCCTTGAAATTTAGGCCTTCAACTAGGCCTTATATATGGGAAGTACCTCCAATAAATCGGTTCCTGAAATGGCCATTGAATGGAAGTTTTTAGCTCGGAAAATCAACTATAAACAACAAGGTGGTGCCCCCCAAACGTTATACTGGTTGGTGGTTAAGCCACCCCTGTGAAAAATATGAGTTCGTCCCTTGGGATGATTATCCCAACATATGGAAAAATAAAAAATATTCCAAACCACCAACGAGATCCAACGAGTATAAATTGGTTTGCAAACCCCGTTCACTATAGATTATACCGCCTATAAACCATAGTTATTGGAGCTATCTTCACCAACTTAGCTATCTAAGGGGCACCACCTTGAAGGTATTTCTATGCTATATTTGATTATCAAAGGATATGTGCTAGGGTCAAGTTACAAGGAGTGAATGGTTTCTGGCCATCCATGCCATCATGGGAGTCCTATAGTGGGTACTTGAATATCGATTAATTCATGGGTTTGACGTTCATTTTGCAATATGATCGTAAGCAATCCAACTTTTGACCACACATAGAGTAACCAAGTAACCGCCAAAAAAAAAACACTGAATCTTGACTATCTAAATTAACGGATATAGTCATATGGATATAGTAACCGCCACTCCCAAATAGATATAGCCATCCAGGTATAGGATTAACCATTGTTTTTTTCTGGGAATGGATGGGAATGGCTATATCTGGATGGTGGTTTCAAGCCGGAAAAAAAACATGCGCCTCTGAGGATCAACTAAAACTAGACCAAAAGCACTTTGAATATTGAAATGGCTATTCCGATGCCGAGCATGGGAAAAAAACTACGATTTAAGGCTTCAAAACATGTTCGTTTTTGAAGGATGGGGATACAACTTGGCACCTTCTTGATACATTCTTGTGCAGTCAAATCATCCTTGTTGGTGGCTGAGACAGGCCCCAGCTTCAAATATCTTCAAATCCTGAGGTAAACAAAACCAACCCAAATCTTATTGGCTTCCGAGATACTTAACATTACTTAACTATCTTAACTGGAAGGCACGGTTTATATTCAATGTGAACCCCACATGAGCTAAGAATATCGCCTGAAATTTGCAATGAACCACCTGAAAAGCTGACATCCAAGCCCTGGTGCCACTTCTCATGGTTTATCCCATTGATCTGGGTGAACTAGCTATAGTCACAACTGGTCACAACATGTCAGCAGTTACCTGGTTACCTGTCTTCATGGGCTCCCGATGGTCACAATTGCCCCAATTTTAGACAGGTGGGTTATCCCTACCATGGTGACTATGGTTTGCCACTCGTGGGATGATCCTTCAAGTACCCCCCCTATTATTGGGTGCTCCAATTTAGGGCCCCTTAAGATTCCACCAGTGGGGCCAGCATGGGGTTCATCGCATGTTGGGAGATATGCCATGATATGCCTATGTTCAATGAGTAAATCCCATTGAATCCATGACTAACGCCAAGTTTACGTAAATCCCTACTATAAACGCGTCAAGCTGGGACTACAGGAACACATGTAGTTTCTATTATTTTCTATTCATATTAGGTATGCCGTATGCCCTGAAAAATATTAAAAAAAATCCCAACCATGGGTGAAAAATGTCAATAAAACCCACTCTGAGGCACATTGAAGACCTGCCCATACTCTTCTCGGAGGAGTTCCTGGCAAATCCTTCCTGATATATATATATATAAATATATATATATATATCATTTAAAGTATATATTAATATAATGTTTTTAAGCGTATAACAAACAAATAGAGACGATAGAATCAGCATAATTATCAATTTATCGTTTTTTAGGTATGCACAGTGCACATACGACAAAAAACAACATATACAGCAATACACAACATATACATATAATTATCATATGTAAACTGTCATGTCCAGCAACCACTTCACTTCTGCAGTCCTGATGTTTTCGAAAGCTCAAAGCTTGCAGCTGCGAACCACGCGTTGCCAGCACAGGACTCGTGGAGGATTTCTGTTCCCAAAACACTGGAGCGCTACCTCTGACCTGCGTGATATGGCGGCGATGTGGGGGGAGAATCTGGGATATGCGATCCAGGAAGCCTCAAAAAATCACATAGGTTCCTAAGTAAAAATAAGCTAAAATGGTCCATTGTGAAAAACCCAGAAAATCATGGACCAACAGCAATAATCCAGGAAATCTTGAGAGAAAAACTCTGTGGCCATGGAATGCCATGGATGAAAACCATGGATTTCCACGTGTTGCACCCGCCTTTTCCGTGCCCTGATTTCCATTGATTTCCATCAGTGACGTGACTCGTCACACCATTCCAAGGGCAGCTCTTTAGACGACCTGTAGCCTATCTGAACATGACTGATTTACCCTCTGGTAAACAAACAGGTTGCCATTGAAAATTGCCATAGAAATAGTTGATTTACCCATTAAACATTGTGATTTTCCATAGTTACGTTAGTTTACCAAGGGGTTCATCATATTTTCCCAATTTTTTCCCACCAGAAAAACCTGAAAAAAAAACATCATTTTCCCATCATTTGTCCCAGATTTTTGGAACACCGAAAAAAAAAACATGTTTTCCGCCTGTGCCAGTGAGATCCAATGATCTCCGGGTAGCTTTGCTAACATCTCCGTTTCAACCCAGTTGGCCGCCTGGATGGCATCAATGGCCATTTTAGGATCCGATTTATTGGAGGTACCTACCATCTATTTTTTGGCCTATTTTTCAGGCCTAAATTTAATGGGAATATCCCCGCAAAATATGGCCAAACATATGGTACTAACGTACCTCCAATTTAGGATCCTGGAATTCCCATTGATGGCATGAGGCCACTGGACGTGAGGATAGCGATATAATGGGATTATGATGAAATATATTGAAATATACCCTCTGGTAAACTAACAGTTTGCCATGAAACATTTCTATGTTTGAAAACTGGTCGTGATGATCTGATGGGGATGTACTTCGAAATATGCTAAAACATTTAATGTGGTTAAAACATGTTAAAACAATGTCATAAACATTGTTTTAACCACCCCATTTTTGATGGTTGGAATCCCACCCATTTATGGTGATGACTTGGGGATGGTTTATTATTGTTTTACCCACATGTCTGGGAATTTGCGGGCAAAAATTAGATTCTATATGGATATTCTATACCCTCTGGTAAACTAACGTAGCCAACATAGCTATGGAACATGGCTCATTTATAGATGATTTACCCATTCCCATGGTAATTTTACAACATTATATAACGTAGCTATTGAAAACCACCATCTTTTAATAGGTAAATCAACCATAAATCACCATTTTCAATAGCAAACTGTTAGTTTACAAGAGCGTAAACCTTTACTATTGAAGACTAACATAGCTATTTTTCACATCCACATTTATGGTGGATTTGCCTATCAAACATAGAAATGTTCCATGGCAAACTGTTAGTTTACCAGAGGGTATATCTCATCATTTCCCACCATAATCCCATTATACCCCTATCCTATAGAGTCCCCTTCAAAACCCATTAAGCCTCATAAATCCCGTGAACAAATCACCATTTTCCATAGCTAACTGTTAGTTTACCAGAGGGTAATCTCTATACTCTGAGGTTCATCGCTGGCCGGGTGACCTCTCCATCATCATCCAGACCGCGAGCGTTGTAGCGGGTTCCCGCATGACGGCAGCTCCTGGAGATCCAGCCAGGTTTTATGGCAATTTTTACGTCCAAAAAAAAGGAAATTGGTAAAGCCATAGTGATAAACCCATAGTAATATGGCGTTACATAATCAATATAGAAGTTGGATGAAGTTGGTAAAATCTATTTCTAGAATAGTGATTCATATTGATGAGAGATGTACTTCTCTCGGATCTTTTTTAGGGCTTACGATCCGTCAAAAAGATCGCAATCCGACCTGGCCGCCTGGCCCATTTTTTAAAGCCTGGACAGGGCTGGATTACTTTGGGTCATGTCAAAACGCAGGAGCTAGGCAGCTAGACGGCTACGGGATGGTCTTTTCCTTTATCCCAAAGCTCGACTCAAGCTCGATGTCGCTTGGTTTCATAAAAGTAGGAAACCATAGCTGGTTGGTGGTTAAAAAACCATCTTGCAAAATGATGGAGTTCGTCAATTGGAAGGATGACATCCCATATATGATCTGGAAAATAAAATTCATGTTTGAAACCACCAACCAGATAGTGTACAGCGTTACACTCCCCAAAACGCCAGGTTTCACTTTCTTACGCCCCACGTTTTGTCAAAACATCCGGAAACGAACTGGGATACATCAGGACTTGAGGCCAGATGTTGGAATTGTAACCCGAATGACTTGTAACCACAAAAACAAGCCAGCGAACTTCTTGCCAGCAATGTTATTGATCCACTGGGCTCGCCACTGGGCTCGCCCGTCCTGCGCGCCAGCAGCACCAGGAGCATGGAATTGTTTCGGCCAGGTAAGGTTTGGCATTGCAGAAAGCCTGGCCACTGGGCGGCCATAAGCTTTCGAAGCGTTGGCCAGAAATTGGGGAATTCTTTGAATGGAAAGCTAGTCAATGGGAATTTCAGGATCCGATTTATTGGAGGTACCTACCATATATAAGGCCTATTTTTCAGGCCTAAATTTCATGGAATATAGCCACAAAATATGGCCAAACATATGGTACTAAATCCTGGAATGACCATTGAACTAAGGAAGTAAACAAATAAATCAACCAGCTATGGGAATACTGAGGTCCAGGCCTTGCATGACCTGAGGGCGCCGCAGCAACTTCGCACCAGGTGGACATGCTGAAAATCCACAAGGCGAGGTCCCCACACGATAGCTAATTTGTTTTTTTTCAAAAACAACTAGCTTAACTATGATTAAGTATGATTGTTGGTAGACACATCCGTTTAGTTCTTGGTCTATAAACCCACTTAAGTAACTGAGGGGCCTCACCTAATTTTTTGGGGCATTTCTTGATAACTTCATCCGCACCAGCAACACACAGCCAGGGATCTGGAGTGAACCAGCGTTCGGAGATACTCTGGTTGAGCAGCGGTCTGCACAAAAAACTGTTCCAGAGAAATCGCGGCTCCGCCGTTGACCTAGGACGATATCGGGCTGAAGCTGGGGCAGATGTTCAACCGGAAATCAACCATGATACGGATGACATTGATGCTTATATACTCATGCTATGAATGAATCGTGGCAGGTGTTCTTCACTTTCTCCAACTTGATCTCATGAAAAAAAAAGTCTAGAGACTCAGGTTGAGCCACACAAAATATATCGCTTTAATTATGGCTTAATTAAGTTAATTTAATGGCTTAATTAAAAATAACCTTATATAGTTATCCTCTGGTTATTTAACATAGCCATGCAAAATCACAATTCTTAATAGGTAAACCATCTATAAATGGACCATTTTCCATGGCTATGTTAAATAACCAGAGGGTAAATGATTTAAGATGGTCCAATCACCATCAGCTTTGTCTTGCAACGTCGAGCATCATGCTGGGAACGCTTGTCAAAGCGTCACGGCGTTGAAGGCGCTTGGTGACATCGAAGTCGTGCGAGAAGTAGAAATTGTCCTCCAAGAGGAGCAGGACCTGACGATGTTGGGCCGGGCCCATGGGAAAGCCAAGAAAAATTAGACATTTCAGGACCCTAAAATGGTACCTATAAAATATAATTGTACTATATAAAATTGGATTATATATATATAGAACATATATAAGGCCCGCAAATTCCCATAGATGTACGAATCAATGGGAATTTCAGGACCCTAAAATGGAGCTATTGTACTATATAAGGCCAATAATATATGGTAGGTAGCTCCAATAAATCGGTTCCTGAAATGGCCCTTGAACATGACCACTGAAGAATAAACTCAGGGGTATACACGCTAAATCAAAGGGATGGCGTTGCCGCCCTCGCCCAGTGATATCATGTTCTATCCTCTGTCTGCTTGGTTTCTCAGGTGTCCGATAATTTCAAATGGTTTCATTAAAGGTCGGATATTGATCAAATGTGTTTTTTCTGCAATTCGATTGGAAATGCGACAGCATGAGTAGAAGCGATAGAGTACCGCAGTTGAAAACCATGGAAAATCATAGATGATTAATCCCAAAAATTGACCATCAAACAGTTGGTTCTTCAAAGTGACCTTTTCAATCACCGATTCGAGATCACAAAATACCACAAGAAGGATCACTGAACCAACTCAAAAGGGCACATTGAGGAACCCTGTTTCAAATAGTTAGACACCATCAATTCTGAACCATGCCCGCAGTACGTTTGGTTCTATGCACACAGCACCCCCTGCAATCGTTCACTTAAGACCTTATATGCTCTGGTAATTTAACATAGCTATTTATGGAACATCACAATCTTGAATAAGTAAATGCAATTTATATTATATCACCTATAAATGTGCCGTGTTCATCCATTTTCGATTGCATTTTTTCGGAGGGTACCCCCCCTCTTCGCATGGCAAAGCACTCCATTGAGAGCCTCTGCTGCTTCACCTCAATAGTTGGTCGAAGATGGTGGAAAAAGTTTAAATGGAACATATTACTCCCATACCCCCATCAGAAACCCCAATAGTATGGGAAAATTTATGGGAACAGGGGTCCCATCATTGGTCTCATTGGGTCTAAGAAAATTCATTGGGATCCATTCTCTCCATGGACTTTGCATCACATGGAATTCACATGGATACGATCGACAACCTTTGGCTAATCCGCATGAAATTGATGATTTTTTGCTGGTTTTGGTTATTTTCTATTTATGGAAAAAACAAACAAACTGGAACATCACAAAAAACAATAAATGGAAAAGGATCCTTTTTTCGAGAAATTTTGTCCAAAACCTTGGGTATTTTTGCAAACGATCATTTTTTCTACAAGTAGAAAATGACCAAGGTTTAGTTTCGACCCATCCAGTTGGTTAGCGCACCTTTGAGCGCCCAGTGACCATTGATTTCCCACAAGGGGATGGCCCTGGCCTTCTGTACCCTATGCACCTTCATTCGGTCCACTTCCTTGGGAATGGGCGTGGGGCAGTGCCCCCAGGGTGAAAATGGTGAGATCCTGAGACAGAAATGATGAAGTGAACCCCCAACTGACCTGGTTGGTGGTTTCAACCCCTCTGAAAAATATTAGTCAGTTTGGATTAGTCTTCCCAAAATATGGAAAAATAAAACATGTTCCAAACCACCAACCCATGACATTCTACCTGACATTCTATCCATATTCTACACATATGTACTGATTCATACTTCACTACAAATAGACCTGGGGTAGCAATGCCCCGTTTTCTGGTCCGGCGAGCCCCAAAAGACATATTAGTTCAGAGGGCCATAGGGTGGTGACTTACGTCTCTGCAAGCCTGCAGGCCTGACCCAGGCCCACATGGGGAATATTTACTAGGGGAAGGGATGCAAAACAAACGTCAAAAATAACAACAACAGCAGCATCAGCAACAACAGCAACATCAGCAACAACAGCAACAACAGCAACAACAGCAACGACAACGACAACGACAACCACAACAACAACAACAACAACAACCACAACAACAACAACAACAACAGCAACATCAGCAACATCAGCAACAACGCAACATCAGCAACAACAGCAACATCAGCAACAACAGCAACATCGGCAACAACAGCAACAACAACAACAACAGCAACAACAGCAACAACAGCAACCAGCAACGACTGCAACGACAGCAACGACAACAACAACAACACCAGCAACAACAACAACAACAACAACCACAACCACAACCACAACCCATTATAATATATATATAGTATAAACTTATATCATCACTGTTCAAAGCTTCCCAAAGTGATAAGATAATGCCTTTTGACATCTTTTGACATGCCAAACGCTGGGAAATGACCTCATATCCAAACATGTCATGAGGTCATGAGGACCAGCGCCAAGAGTCAATGGGAACAGCTTCAGTGACCACGAGTAAGAAGTAGTCCTGTTGAAACAGAGATGAAACACATTATAACTGAGGGGTATCACCTGGAATCACCTTCACAACAAAAATCAAATCGCAGGAAGTTTGACAGTTTGGTTTCGTAGCCACAAAAAATGATGACCAACAGCAAACACTTTGGCATCCTGGTGTCATCCTTTTTTGCGCCAAAGAAACTCCACATCAACACACCCTCCAGGAGTTTGGGGCGCTGTTGGGGTGATCTTAACGAGTAATGAAACCATTGGGGATTGTGATTTTAAACTCCATAGCTGGTTGGTGGTTGAGCCACCCCTCTGAAAAATATGAGTTCGTCAGTTGGGATGATGACATTCCCAACTGAATGGAAAAAGAAAAAATCTTCCAAACCACCAACCAGCTAGTCACAACTTGGGATATGGGGGCCTCTATATATAACCTATATCTATGGTGAAATATAACCACGCAAAGTTGTGCAACTGCACCTCCAAGTTGAGGATTCTTGTAGCTCTTCCCACTTCCAAATGTATTTCGGTTCACCCCAAGCACAGCACCTGGTTGATGGTGATCATACCCAGAACTGCCAAGCAGTTTTCTGGTGCTGCAGTGGCTGACCTCAGGATCTATCTGAAGGTTTCCCCATAAGTTTTGGAAATGGCAGATGCCAAGTTCAACTTCTATCCTTGCAAAGTGTAAGGTTTCAAGAGGAGCCACAGAGAAGCAGATCTAGCGGTGTTTTTTGATGTATGAAGGCCCAAGCGAAATGGGCACATTTTAGGGATTTTTGTGATGAGAGGGAAGCAACTCTGAAACAGAACTGTTTCCAGAACTGCAAAAAAAGACAAACAAAAGGCGATGGGTGACTTTCCCTGCCATCTCCATCTGGCGGAGAAAAACACCAGGCTGCCAGGTAGCAATTCCACCAGCTTCTGCCGGAAATTGGCCGTGCTGTCCTGCACAGTTTCACAGGAGTTTTGTAGATGGACTTGATGGGAACTATCCTTTTGAGCTGGAAGATGTTTCTACGTGCATTTTGGGGTTCAACAATAATATGTTGGATAATATTTGGATAATAATATTGGTGGATAATATCGGATATTTTGATGTTCAACAGTAGTGATGGATCATATTTGGATGTTCCATGGCAAAAAGTTCTCCGGGATCCGTTGACTCTCCAGAAGCCGCACCAAGCCGCACAATGGCTGTGTCCTTGCCCTCCCGGGCAGCGCCAGTTTTGGCGATGGCCAGGAACCTGCAAAGTTTATATCTGCGGTTTGTGGGTTTTAACCCGTCCCAAACCCATCATCCCTTGTATATGGTTGAACACCCGTAACTGGTTGGTGGTTTCAATCCCTCTGAAAAATATGAAAGTCAGTTGGGATGATGAAATTCCCAATATATGGAAAAAGAAAAAATGTTCCAACCCACCAACCAGATAAGTATGTGTATCAGTGTATCCCTCCATTTGGTGTGTATTTGTCACTCAAATTAAATCTGCTACCATCTCCTGAAATGATAGACGCTCCAAACATCCTCCAGTGCCCCGATCAACACAGCCATTGCTCTCCAAGGGAACTGTACTTCATCACCAGTCGGCTTTGCATCCTGAACAACCATTGGTAGGTCATGTGATGTCATGTGGCTCAAGGCCAGCTGAAGTTGCAGGGGTTGGCGGATTAAGTTCCTGGACCCTGGCCTGATAGGAGCAAATCCTGACACCCCAAACACTCAGTCGAAATCATCGGAAGTTCAGCAGTCCAAACACTCAGCACTTTTTCCCACCAACTGCAAGGATCAAGGCGTAACCAACATCTTACAACTTCAAATGAGCATATGGAGCTTTCCAATCCATGGGGGTACCCCCGGTTCTCATCCATCTTGGCTTGGGATTTTCCATGAAAAGTCCCTAGGGATCATCCTAACGATGGTGAACACCGAGCACCACCGAGCTTGGGTAACGTGTAACGTGTATCCAAGGCCTATTGTTGTAAGCCCTATTATTGATATGATTGGGGTGAGATTGGGGCGGGCTTGGTTGATTCCCCATTTTGAAAATCAAATTGAAACCACCAACCCGCAAAGTTTCGCTCACCTTTTGGCTTCCTGCAAGCCATTATATACCCTCTGGTAAACTAACATAACTATGGAAAATCTCAATCTTTAATAGGTAAATCAACTATAAATGTGACATTTTCAATAGCTTTGTTTGTTTACCAGAGGGTATCTTAACACCTCAGCCAAGCATCCCTGATGATGAGCAAGGTGCGGCTAGAGTGGATCAGCCAGCGGCCCATGGCGCAATGGCTGGATTTGTAGATTGCTTCTGTGGAACTCACATGGTCGCCATGTTCAATTTGCAAGTGATGAATGGATTGTGGCCATCCATGCCACAATTTGAATCCTCACTATCCATTTGGGAATGGTTGGAATCCTATCCATTTATGGTGATGACTGGGGGATGGTTTAAGACATTCTTTTAACCACATTATACATAATAAGTATACCCATGAATTGATGGCCATCCACCAGTATGCCTTATTGAATATACAATCCATCGCCCATAGCACACGTGGTTATGCGTAACAGCCAACAGCCAATTTCCGCTTGAAGTGGTTTCTGGGGCTTGGTTCTGACGGTGAAGAAACCGGTTGCTTTCCATCACTGCAATATTTTTGTTGTACCATCTGATTATTACCATATAAATGGAGGTTTCAAGCTGGGAAAATCATCTATATATAAATGGGCCATGGCTTCCATGGCTATGTTAAATAGCAAGAGGGTAAACCCAGCGAACCATCCCGTGAACCAGCCATGTGTCATTTTTCATCCCAGTCATAGCACTAGTAGAAATCTTGGGACATTCCCAGGAGACGCCGTCTGAGATACAAACAGCAAGGACTGCGCAGTGCAGGACATCTGTGTGAAATGTTGCCCTCTGGTAAACGTTTACATAACTATGGAAAATTGCAATTTTTAATGGGAAAACTCCCTATAAACGGCCATTTTCAATAGCTATGTTAAATTACCAGCGGGTATATGGTGTCCAGCGAATCACCAAACCTGCTCACCATTCGCGAGTCACCATTCACATGCGGTGAACCACCAAACATGTGAAATCATGTAAATTTAACCGATTCTTCCATGGCATCTTTTCCACGGATCGATCCGTGAAAATTGCAACCAGGTCAACCTGAAATCGCTTTGCCAAACCCACCCTGGTTGGTGGTTTCAACCCAGCTGAAACATATTAGTCAGTTGGGATGATTATTCCGAATGATTATTCCCAATATGGGACAATAAAACATGTTCCAAACCACCAACCAACACCAATATGAAACAGGAAAACTCAGGCGAAAAAGTGTTTGACCTGCAGAAATCCACCGAAAATCCACAGGTCCTTGGTGCCATACTTCTTGTGTGTGGCCGCTCCCCAGCCTTCCCTCGGCAAATTGGGACATGTAAAGGGACACCCTGTGGCAGGCTTTAGGGACTGACCAACAGGGTTTAGGGGATGATTCCCCGAATCTTAACGGTCATTCCTCTACCATCATTAAAATTCATTAACCATCATTCACAGAAAAGTCATTCACCCAAATCAGAAAGTTCCCACTGATATTCCATTTAAATTCCATTTATACCCCATTAAATCCCACTAATAATTCACTACCCACAATTCAAATACGCCCATTCGCGGATGGTCTCCCCCAATCCTCACGATCATTCATCAACCACGGTTATCTTTAACGCCCAAGGAGTAGCATACCCATAAAATGGTGGCTATCCATCAACATTATGAACATTTGGTTCATGATTAATTCATGGTTAAATCCCTAGGCAATTCATCCATATACATCTGCCACGTTCCCACAATAGTTTAATCATCATCATAGATCCGTCAAAAACCACCATGTTTAAGTCAGTTAAGTTAAGGCACCATTTTTAGCAGCTAAATCATCGAATTTAAACGGGCAATTGTCCGTTATGTTTTTCCAATTTCCAGGGTGAAGCAACCCAGATGTTTCTTGGTTTCTATATAAACCGAATGGATCATTTATAAACAGGTCAATTTGCATAATCATCATCATATGTCATATCTCCACTATGTTAGTTGGCTAAGTCACCATTTAGTATAGGGTAAACGAACCATTTTCTTCCATTCTCTTCCGTTTTTCCTCCATTTTTCCATTCCTCCCTGATTTTCCCATGGATTTTCATGGGTTTTCCATTGTTTTCCCTCATTTTCCCTAGGTTTTCCATGGTTTTCCTCCACCTTTCCCTAGGAAAATCCCCCCCGGGACGCCCCCGGACCGGTCCAAGGCGCCGCTCCGCCGTGACGCGCGCGGCTTCCAGCAGGGCCATCGCCTCGTTGGGCCGCAAGAGGTCCTCAAACTCCACCACCTGGGCGAAGTTTGGGGGTCACAATAAGTGACATTACTTGACTAGTGATAATGGGATATATTAATAATATTGGTGGTATGATATAGTGATTGTCACCATGCTATTAATGGATTAATCCGGTATAATAGTGATAATTGAGTATCTTCACTAGTGACATAATTATATATTAATGATGGGGTTCTTAGTTATTATCATAACTGGTAATCATATCCTATGGTTATAGTCAAGTAGTGACAGTAATTAGAAAATAACTAAGATATTAACCAATTCTATGGTTATTAGATCTTATTAGTTATATTTAACTTAGTTATAATATTCTATGGTCACAACAATTACTGAATTTGGGGATCACAAGTAGTGACATACCCGGCCTGGTAAACCTACAAAAAACCATGGAAAATTACCATGCTATTAATGGATTAATCGAGTAGAATAGTGATAATTGAGTATGATATAGTGATAATAAGTAGATTAAGTAGATATAAGTATCTATAAGTTATCCCGATTAATACACTGATAATACACTGATAATACATGTAATATACTGATAATGGGATATATTAATAATAGTTGTGGTATATATCATTAATAACCAGTATTGCGGGCTTATCCCATCATTGAAATTTAATATTGGTATATATTGATACCACTGATATTAATAATTTCATTAATGATGGGATATCAATAACTATATAACATTAAGTGACCATAATATGTAGTTTGGAAGTAAGTGATATGAAAAAAAAACACATAGTTCACCATGAACTATTCATGATGGGATAAGTCCATATGTAGGTGATCATCAACTGCCAGAAGAATAAGGTTACGGATATCTCTCTCCATCGCCATTGCCAGGAGTCTAGCCAAATATACTGACAACAAGTTATTATATTTTTAAACATATTAACATCATTGATATTAGTTATGGGATAACCCCATTGATATGGAATCACCATAGTTCACCATGGAATATATAGATGACAGGATAAGCCCAACTACAAGGAGGTGAACTCACATTATTAGGGAACTGCCCTCAGAGGAATAAGGTTAGGGATATATATCATGATATATCCATATACTGACAATAAGATAATATATTTTATAGAATATTATGTTAATTAGGCTCCTCATATTCTTAGGGAAACCATCGAGGCATCAAGAGGAATCATCTCACTTAAGCCCAGGGACGTCCAAACCAGTTTTCATAAGTTTTCCACAAATGGGAGTACCCCAAGCTCGCTGGATGGTTTATTTCATGGAAAATCCCAAAACCACATGGATGATTTAAGGGTATCCCCATGGATTGGAAACTTCGCAACGTTGATATTCTTATGATATTTAGGAAGGTGTTCATTTATTTGGAGGTGTTCAAACTCATGTCAATATCAATAATCCAAACTAATGATTAATCAAGCTGATGTCTGGGGGGTCAATTCTTAATATCAATCAGTGATTCATGATAATTATCCAAATGTTATATGGTTAGTAGTAAATGCTATGGTGATAAGCGGATTAGACTCTAGACGCCCAAATTCTGCACCCGGTTTCATGTAGGTCGTAGCGGCACACATCACGTGACTCACCAAGTTGCTGTGTCCAAAATGAGGTCACAGTTGCAGCTATTCAGAGTCAGCCTTGGAAGCGGTTTCCCATCCCTGGACAGTACAGCCACTGTACAACCGTGCATCTTTCACTATGAAGCATTGAGATATAAAGAGATTTCATGAAATCTCTACACGCGTCATAGCTGGGTGGGTGTCCGAATGCCTCGCAAGATTGTTTTTTCATGTTTTTTCTTCGCTTCTCAGTTGGAGGTTTCCTAAAATGGAGGTACCCCCAAATGATCCAAGTCATCAGACCATTTAGTATTGAAACCATTTGAAACCCATGGCGACTTGCGGATCCCCCACTTTACGACACCCTCATATCTCCATTTCTTTGTTTGACACCTCGGTGTGTGTGTGTTTGTGCAAGAACCACCTTCCAAACCTTCCACGGCCTCGAATTGAGGGCCCAGAGCATCAAATGAATAAGTACCTGACGCGCGAGCAACTGGTTGCCACAGGCTGGTGCAAAAAACATCAAAAAACCGCCTTTCATGAATAATGATGAGAACATCCTTTACAACACCCACCCACCCGCGTAAATCATACTGTAATTGTTTTCGCCTTCCCAGCGGTTCACACTAGCCGGATGGTGGAATTTCTGCTTTGATGTTCCAGCAAAACTAGCAACACCGGTTGATAAGCAAATAATATTGGCTATCAATAACTTAGCTTGTCATGGATATTGGCGTTCCCTAAGCCAACTAATATTATGGTTACTAGTGGATAATATCGCCGCCTTTTTTCTAACCAGTCCAGCAGCTCCAGCCATGCATTCACATCACGCGCCTGGAAGAAAGGAGGCACACCTTTTCAGTGCTGTTCTAGCCCCTTGCATTTTTGAATAGATGCTGGCTCTATTAGAAGAGAAGCTTCCTTGATACTTCCTAAGATTGATTGTGAAGGTCCTTGTTAACTTTGGCTCAGCCAAAACTATGGGGCTACAGCACTGCCAGCACTGCGGTTTCATTGCAGATTTCATTACACGAGCACAGCTATGGACACAATTCCTCAATGAAGGCTTCAGAGAGCCTAGAGAGCCTGCAAAACGCAGTAGAAGGCGGCGGTCAAAGCACGTTTCCTTTGCGGGGGGCACCGTGTTGGGGGGCACCGTGTTTCGCAGGTGCCGAAGGCAAAACTTCAACATTAGGACCAGAAGGAAAATGCAGAGAGCAAGCGCCACCATCCGTAGGAGTCTCCGCATTGGGGCTCTTGTGGCAAAGGAGAAGCATCCTTCATCTTTTTCAGGAAGAGCAGCCGCAGCAGTAGCAGCATCTGAAGAGTAGTCCGAA